AGTAAAACCAACAAGAAAAATATGTTTATAGAATAGAAACAAAAATCATCATTATTCACAAATTACATGATTAACTTCTTAGAAACCTCAAATAAATCTTCACAAACTATTAGAATTATGAAAGAAGTTAGTAAGTTTGCCAAACATAAGATCAATTTAGGAAAGTTAATTACATTTCCATACATGGACATTTAAAAAAATGATGAAATTCAACACTGGAAAGATGGCATTTATAAAAATGTATCTATGAATGAGTTTAGTAAGTTGTATCAGACATTTAAGAAAAAATACTATTTAAAAACAAGGATCAGAAAAACTAAACAAATGTTACACAAAACAGCATTTGTCTCTAAGCTGAGCAAAAGGTTCAATCTAATTTCTGAAATTTCATGAAGCAAAACAAATGGCTGATATTTAACCCAGGGCGGGGGCTGCTGGGGTGCAGCAGGTGGAGCCCCGACCAGCAACAGGGTCACCCACATGAACACGCAGCTTTGAGTCCCAAAGGTGCCACGTCACTCCAGCCCCTTGCTGATACAGCTGGGGAAGCAGCAGCTGAGAGCCTCGCACCCACGTGGGAGACCCAGATGGTGTGCCAGGCTCCTGGCTGCAGTCTCACCCAGTCCTCGCCGCTTCAAGCCAGTGGCTGGGAAACCTCTTTCTCCGTCTCACCCTCTGTCACTCTGGGGGTCAGGGGACTATGTGGGGGGATGACACGCGATGGGGGACGGGGAGCGACGGGGGGCAAGGACAGAGGCCGAGCAGAGGCCAGGTCAGAAGCCCCAAAGGAAAGAAGGACGAATCCACACACACGGGAAATCTGAGACACGCGCAGGAGCCCACTGGATATGGGCTCACACATAGAATATTCATGACTGACTCACGACCTCAAACTACACCCGGAGGGATCCTGGTCCTGAGACCCTCAGGGGAACTATGGGAAGACTTCTCGGAAGCAAGGAGCTTGGAAAAGATGCTTCCAGACACAAGAGTCCCCATCAAAAAGGAAGACTGCAGAATTGGCTTGGCTATCATCTAAGACTTCTCAGACTCCACGCTGAGTGTGGCTGTGCCCGTGGCCCACGCCGAGTGCCTGTACCCAGCCCTGACCGTGGCCTTCAGGCGCAGGGCCTGGGAGGGACGGCATGGGGGACTGGCATTGCATCCCCAGCCCAGCCTCTGTCCTGGCCACCGCAGGCACTTGAGGAGACCCAGAATGATTCCTCTGCTCAACTTCACACAAAGCACAGCCAGGAAACCAGTTATGAAAAGCCCAGGGCCAGCGCTGTGGCACGGTGGGTGAAGGCTGCCCTGTAACCAGTATGCCACGAGGGCACCAGGTCATCATCAGGTTGCTGTACTTCCAACACAGCTTTCTGTTGCCCGAGAAATACAATCCAAGTTCAAAAGTCTGGGCTCCTATATCCATGCGGGAGAACCGGGTGAAGCCCCTGGCTCCTGGCTGCGGCCTCGCCCAGAGCTGACTGCTGCGCCGTCGGGGGAGTGAACCAGAGCACAGAAAGTTACCATCTCTCTCTGTCCTCCCTCTGAAACTTTTACACTCAAAATCAATCTGTGAACCTTTAAGTAAAAAACATACAGCCTGGGGATAGCAGCCAGTGTCACTGCCACCTGCCTCCTGGGAAGCGCCCAGCCGAGGGTCACGGAGGGTACAATGCAGTGATCCCAAAACTGAACACACACCAGCTGGTGCGTCGCGATCCCAGCATCACTTCCCAGAGACTCACTGGAGAAGCACAGTGTCCCCCCCGCTTGTGAGACACCTTAAGATGCAGTGAACGGGGGGTGTGAGGCCACCCCCAGATGCAGGATTTCTTCTGGGTCTCCACATGGGTGCAGGGTCCCAAGGCTTTGGACCACACTGCACTGCTTTCCCAGGGCATGAGCAGGAAGCTGGATGCAAAGTGAGGTGGCTGGGACGAGAATCGGGGCTCACATGGGATCTCGGACATGCAAGGTGAAGGTTCAGCCACTGGGGTATTGTAGAAAAACTTTAAAGTTTGTTGAAAGATAATTAAAACAGCCTGAAAGAGGGAAGCTAGCCATGTTTATGAGAATAAGGAGTGGATTTCAAAAAGATGTCAGTTCTCCTCGACGGATCTACAAAGTCCACGCAATTTAACTGCTAGATAAACAGACCTTAAACAAAATGAGAATTCTCGGCGATGTGTGTCCGAGACCCGAGGCACCAAGGGCAGGATGCCCCAATCCACCGTGGAGAGCAGGGCACAGGGAGCGCTCCAAGCAGCCACGAGCCCCACACTGCAGCTCATGCGCAGGGAAGGCCACCTGACCGCCAGGACAGTCGGGGAACGCAGAGCACTTCTAGGGGACGTGGCTCTGAGCCATGGCAAAGTAGCAGGCCGGGCACCAGGCCCCACCTCTCCTCTCACACAAGAACTACAAGCTAAAACACACAACGCCTGTCTTGGAAGACAATGCTGGCGCACACCCTCATCCTGCACACGCAGCAGGCTTCTTGGGCACAGCATCCAAGCAATACTCCCAACAAGGACGGACAGAAACAACCACCTCCGAAGCAAGAACCTGCCCCATCCACAGAGAAGCCGGGAAACAAACCACTAGCAACAACGTAAATGGACAAGGAACTGGGATGCCCAACACGTGAAGACCAACAGCCCAAAGGAAGACGGGCAAAAGATGGGTATAAGCACGTCCCGGGGGTAGGACCACAGCACACACATCCCAGGGGGAGGACCACAGCACACACATCCCAGGGGGAGGACCACAGCACACAGCACACACATCCCAGGGGGAGGACCACAGCACACAGCACACACATCCCAGGGGGAGGACCACAGCACACAGCACACACATCCCAGGGGGAGGACCACAGCACACAGCACACACATCCCAGGGGAGGACCACAGCACACACATCCCAGGGGGAGGACCACAGCACACAGCATACACATCCCAGGGGGAGGACCACAGCACACAGCACGCGCGTCCCAGGGGAGGACCACAGCACACAGCACACACATCCCAGGGGGAGGACCACAGCACACAGCACACAGCACGCGCGTCCCAGGGGGAGGACCACAGCACACAGCATACACATCCCAGGGGGAGGACCACAGCACACAGCACACACATCCCAGGGGGAGGACCACAGCACACAGCACACACATCCCAGGGGGAGGACCACAGCACACAGCACACAGCACGCGCGTCCCAGGGGGAGGACCACAGCACACAGCATGCGCGTCCCAGAGGGAGGACCACAGCACACAGCACGCGCGTCCCAGAGGGAGGACCACAGCACACACATCCCAGGGGGAGGACCACAGCACACACATCCCAGGGGGAGGACCACAGCACACAGCACATGCGTCCCAGGGGAGGACCACAGCACACACATCCCAGGGGGAGGACCACAGCACACAGCACGCGTGTCCCGGGGAGGACCACAGCACACAGCATGCACGTCCCAGGGGGAGGACCACAGCACACAGCACGCGTGTCCCGGGGAGGACCACAGCACACAGCATGCACGTCCCAGGGGGAGGACCACAGCACACACATCCCAGGGGGAGGACCACAGCACACAGCAGGGGCGTCCCGGGGGAGGACCACAGCACACACCACGCGCGTCCCAGAGGGAGGACCACAGCACACAGCACATGCGTCTCAGGGGAGGACCACAGCACACAGCACGCACGTCCCAGGGGGAGGACCACAGCACACACATCCCAGGGGGAGGACCACAGCACACACCACGTGCGTCCCAGACGGAGGACCACAGCACACGCGTCCCAGAGGGAGGACCACAGCACACAGCAGGCGCGTCCCGGGGGGAGGACCACAGCACACACCATGAACCAAGCATGGTGCTTGCACGCACAGTCACCGCTTATAACTGCAGAGCAACACTAACCACAGGGAGGCGGCAAGCACCAGGCCGAGGGGCCACCAGCATCCCTTCCAGAAACGCCTGGCTCCAGTCCAGCTGCTTCCTGTCCATGCTGCTGGGAAGGCAGTGGAAGACTGCTCCACAGCTGGGGCTCACACAGCCCCAGCAGAGATGCAGCTCAAGCTGCTGGCTCCAGCCCAGCCTTGGCCGATGCACGCACACGGGGGGCGGGGGGCACACCCAGTGTCTCCAGCTCCCTCCCCACACAACTTTCTGTGCCATGCTGCCAGCCAAAAGAAGGAAGGAGAGAGACAGAGAGAATGAGGGAGGGAGGGAGAGAGAGAAAGAGACAGAGAGAGAAGGGAAGGAGAGCGAGACAGGAGCGAAAGAGAGAGAGGGAGGGAGGGAGAGAGAAGGAGAGACAGGGAGAGAGACAAAGAGAGGGAGAGAGACAGAGGGAGAGAGACAGAGGGAGGGAGGGAGAGGGAGGGAGGGAGAGAGGGAGGGAGAGAGAGGGAGGGAGGGAGAAAAGGAAAGGAAAGAAAAGAGAAGGAAAAAGAGGCTAAAGAAAACTGTGGGATTTTTTTAATTACTTTTTTCATACAGTTTATTTGGCACTGGGGTCGCCCTTCCCCCTCCCCCTCCCCCTGTGGGGTGTTTTTAAATGAACCATTATACAACTAGATAAAACAGATTACCAGAATCTTAGAAATCATGTGGAGAAGAAAAGAAACTAAGAGGGCACAGTATGCAGAGAACGCCCAAGCCCATGCCCAGAGACGCCGACTCCAACAACCCTCAATTTATAAAGAATGTGCAGCGAGGGGTCAGCCGTGCCACCCGGGGGGAGCAGCTGCCACGCCCGCCGCCAGGGTTCATGTGGTGGCCTCCCCTGGTCAGCACAGTCAGGCAAGGCGTGTGTTCTAATGCACGGGTGTTCCACAGTTCATCCGCATGTGTCAGTATTACAGTTACACGGCACTCAGAGACCCCTGTCACTAAGCGTGCCCAACGAGCCAAACTCTCCAGCCCCACCAGCTTCCATAGGAACACCGGTCACTCCCACAAAAGACAAGGCCCTGGGCAGCTGGGGGCTCGGCTCTCACCTCGGTCACCTTGGGCTGAAGTATCAGGGCCTCGGGGCTCATGCGAGGGATGTCGATGTGGATCTGCAGGAGAAAGACACGAGTGGGTCAGAGATGCCAACAGCAGCCCGAGCGCCAGCATCGGGGCAGCAACACCTGGGAGGGCCTGCCTTCTCAGCAGTGAGGCCTCACGGCAGGTCAGCTTGCCAGCTCCCCACCAGGCGGCAGCCGCAAGGGAGCAGGCTCGGCGCTATTTAGCAACACAATCCATAGCAATTAACAAGCATTGATTTTCAGCTCTGACACAGGGAGCAATTCTAGGGCACCCACAGTATACACATTTCAGCTGTGACAGCTTCTGCTTGGAACACAGACCACATTTTCTCCACTCCACCAAGTCCCTGGGGCTCTAGAACACTTCAGGAGAAGCCTCTGGAAGGCCTTGCTGCTGGCAGCTGAGCTCTGCCTGGCCACCTTCTGACGTGAGACAAGTGTGAGGTGGGCACCCCCACCCTGCACCATCAGCTGCCACTACCCTGGCATATCCAGGAAGAGGAAGAGGAAGGGAAGACAGCCAGGGACAGGAGGGAAAGTTTCACTCCCAAAAGGCCCAAGCTTGAGCCCAGCCGAAGCAGGAACTGCAGCTGCTTCTCCCATGTGGGTTGTCACCCAAGAACGTGGATCATCTTGCTGCTTTCCTGGGCGCGTTAGCAGGGAGCTGAAAGATGGGCACATTTTAATGCCAAGAGAAACTTAACGATTTCGTCTCACTTTGCTCCACAGAGCAGCTGCGGGAGTCTTCTCACTCTGCCACTTGTCAGCACTGGGCCTCGCGTGAATCACTAATGTCTGGGGCCCCGCTGCCTCGTCTTGAACACGTCTGCTCCACGTCCTCACAGTCCTTGGTGCAGATCACACAGATTACAGGCCCACGGGTAAGCGGGGTGAGCCGAGACAAGCAGGCATCCGTGCCAGGAGTCACAGTACACGTGGGGGTCACGGCGTTACGGACAAGGGACCAACACTACACCCGGCCTGGCAGGGCCTAAATCGTCCAGCGTGCGGTGAAAGCCCAGGTCTGTGCCGAATGCGGGATTCCTGGGGGCGAGTGGGGGCGGTGCGCAGGGAGAGACCCACGCTGCCCTTGTGCGGGCACACATCCTTCTAGCCCAAGCACTGTGAGCCCCTGCAGACCCAGAGTACCCCATCACCATGCCACCGTTACAAAGAGGTGGTACTCCCTGAGCGTGGGTCCTGGGTTCCCCCAGTCAAGCACCAGCAGGGTCTGCAGAAACCCCCAAACGGGGGCTCTGAGTGAAGAGGAGGCCCCCCTCCTGCTGTCCCTGCAGAGTGGGGAGTGCCCGGGGCGCTTCATGGGCCAGGCTCCTCACACCCAGACTGGATTCAGCTCCGCCCAACAGCAATGCCAGAGAAGCCACGGACGTGGCTCGTAGCAGCACTCACGCAGGAGAAAAACTGCCCGCCCCACCCCCAACTACTCACCCAAATCAAGCCTCGATTATATTAATGTGGAAATGTTTGGGGAATTTACACTAATCTGAAATCTTCTTATTACCTAGCAGAGTAACTAAATAGAGACGTATGCAACCTGTTTGTAATTAACTTTCCCTTAAATTCATCACAGAACTCAGCTCGGTAAATCCTGCAGACAGATCTGCCATCCTCTGGAAGATTTCTTCATGAATAAAAATACCCTGAAAACAACACCCCAAGTAAAATGACAAAACACCCCAGGTAGGAGACATCCCCTCACCAAAGCCAAGTCCAACGGATGCCCCGGCTGGCCTCTGGACACCTGCAGCCAGGCAGGGCCAGAGCCACCGGCTGCGACAGAAGCGCCAGCTCCTGGCCAGGTGGCAGAGCGGAGCAGCCTCTGCCCTGGAGGAGCGGCACACTTTCAGCCCAGCCTTGCCCTGCCTCGCTCCCTCCTCAGCAAGTCCTGTGCCCAGAGGCTCTGCAGAATCACCTTCCGAGACCCTGGCTGACCCACACAGCCCGCGCCCCTGTGTCTTATGCCATGCTGACAGACAAGTGTGGACGCCCCACGTCTGGGGGAAACCCACCCTGCCCTGAAGTGGGATTTGCAAATGTGAACCGTCAATCTGGCAGGCCTCGGGGAGCGTGAAGCTGGCTTCCGATGGGTGAGACAGCACCAATTAGCAACCAGCATCCTGAACTTCCCATATTATACAGGGTATGAGAATTATAAAGGCCTCAAAGAGCTTTCTACCAGCAAATCTGGGATGCATCGTGAATTGCAAATCAATTTTAAGTATTTTTCCCATTATGCATATTACCTGTCAACTGACTGCTCAAGAATCTATAATTACACCCGTTTTGTGTTAAACTTAATACAGAAATGATGAATTGCCTACACCTTTGTGCTGCGGACTGGCCTGGCCCCACACCTTCATTCACCCCAGTCAAGCTAAGGCACACACATACACACACAGCTCAGCCCCGGCTGCGCCCAGGGCCACGGCCCACCATCACCCTGGGACCGACTGTAGACACAGCCAGAAGAATCGCAGGTGTCTCCTGAGTAACTCCAACTACAACCCCCGGCTTGCCTTTGCAGAAGGAACTAGAGACAAGCAGGGTATCACAATTGGGAGAAGCTTGTCAGTACCTGCTTCCAAATTCATTCATCAGAAATCAGAATGGATGAGCCAATCAGAAGGCTGCAAACAGTTCCTCCCACAGAGCTCACGCGCCGAGGCACTGAGGAGCAGGTGCAGGGAACAGCGCCCACCTGTCTGTAGGTGTCCTGGTGAGCTTCATCGTTCCTCGAGTCGTAATAGTGTTCAATGAAAGCAAAATACTCCTGCTGCTTCCTCTGCAGAGTGGCTGGCCTTCGGTCTGCGTTGGCAGGAAGGTAACCCTGGAGGAAGCCAGGAAACACAGGTAGTTATTGAAAGTTGGGAGCAGAAGAGCTGCCACCTGCAGGGGCCAGGACTCTCCAGTGTGCCTCGGGGGACAGCGGGAGTGGTGACAAAGGAAGGGACACACGGAGGCCGGCTGCTGCACGCTCCCCAGCCCCACCATGCACACAACACAGGCCAGCCCACACACACACAACACAGGCCAGCCCCACCCCGCACACAGCACACACACAACACAGGCCAGCCCACACACACACACACACACACACACACACACACACACACACACACACACCACAGGCCAGCCCCCCCCCCACACACACACAACACAGGCCAGCCCACACACACACACACACAACACAGGCCAGCCCCCCCACACACACACAACACAGACCAGCCCCACCACACACACACACACAACACAGACCAGCCCCCCACACACACACACACACAACACAGGCCAGCCCACACACACACACACACAACACAGGCCAGCCCCCCCCACACACACACAACACAGGCCAGCCCCACCACACACACACACACAACACAGGCCAGCCCCACCACACACACACACACAACACAGACCAGCCCCCCACACACACACAACACAGGCCAGCCTCACACACACACACACACAACATAGGCCAGCCTCACACACACACAACACAGGCCAGCCTCACGCACACACACACAACACAGGCCAGCCCCACACACACACACACACACAACACAGGCCAGCCCCCCACACACACACAACACAGGCCAGCCTCACACACACACACACACAACATAGGCCAGCCTCACACACACACAACACAGGCCAGCCTCACGCACACACACACAACACAGGCCAGCCCCCCACACACACACACACAACACAGGCCAGCCTCACACACACACACACACACACATATAACACAGGCCAGCCCCGGACACACACACCCTCTCCCTACCCCGCCACGGGCAGGTACAATCCCTTGGTTGGGGCTTTCACTCCAGAAGTGACTTGGGGTTCTAATACTCTCACTCCACGTTACGCAGCCAACCTCGGAGCTGCTTCCAGTTCCCGTTTTCAACGTTCTTGAACCTACTCTTGCGGGACACAATATTCACCCTTGTGCATGCGTGTGTCTGCAGGTCCCGCTCAGCATCCTTCAGAGGGGCGCGCCCACTGCCCGGCCCCTCTGCCGATGCTCGCCACTGTCCGCCTTCCTCGGGTCGCAGCTCTGCCAGGTCTGCAATCTAGCCACTGCGTGTCTGCGCCTGAGCAGTGTGTGCCCCCATGTGGTCCCCCTCAACAGGGTCACCTGAGTGACTCCCAGGAACCCATCTGTAGTCCGCCCGTGCACTCACGCCCTCCTCCTCCCCACACCCACCTTTTGCACGCTGTTGACCACACCCTTTGTCCTAACTCCAACGTAGTGGAACCTATTAATCCCGTACTATTCGTTCTTTTCATAACCACCTCCTGTAGCCAACGTTCCGAAACCACCTAGTCCACCTTAAAACTGTGACCAGAGGGTTGGGCCGTTAAGAGGTCCAGAGCGACACTGAGTTCCACGTGCAGCCGCTGCCTCCAGCTTCCTGCGGGCACGGGCCCTGGGAAGCAGTGCTAAGGATCCAGAGTGGGGATCACTGCTTCAGACTCTGGCCACACCCAGCCCTGGACACTACGGGCATCTGCGAGTGAAACAGCCAATGGAAGCCTTCTCTCCTTGGTTTGCTCGCTTTCTCTCTCTCTCTCTCTCTCTCTCTCTCTCTCTCTCTCTCTCTCTCGTGCACGTGCACGCGCACATGTGGTCTCAAATCAATAGGCACATATTTCAACATGATAATCCTATTCCCACCATCACTAGTATTAACTTTGTTGGGGCAGCACCACAGTCTGTCGCCCACTGTTGCGGCCAATGCCACTGGAACCCAGCCCTATCCACCTGGCTTCCAACTGCCAATGGCTGGATTTTTTGCACCACAGCAACAGCAGAGTGGTCACTGAGAGAGCCTAGACCTACAGGCTGAGATACTTAGGGCCCAGATCTTTATGGGGAAAGGCAGCCAGCGCAGCTCTGAGCTTTAATCTGAAGGCTCCACAGCCAGTTACATCTCAACAGCTTGTTTCCAACTGTTCAGTACACTACCAGAGCGTCCACTCTGGCGTCCAGCCATCTCTAAGGTGACACTCCTGCACATGAGCTGTCCATGGAAGGATCCTGGACTTCTTCAGGCTGCTGGCACTATTCCCAAGACACCCCACCAGAGGGGCAGCAAGTAACTCCACTGCCTATTACACTACGCGTCCACCCCGACCCTCCAGCAGAGAAGTGCCCAGTGAAGATGCCACATTGAGACACTCTCGGGCAAGTGGCACTGGAGTGGATGTCCCCAGGGTCCTGACTACTTGGAACGGTGGAGTTGCACATTGTGCCCTGCTGGGAAAACTCAAACAGCCCCACCTACATACTGAGGGCCAGCACCAAGTGCTCCCAGTGGCCACTGACTCGATGCCCAGATGAGCCCCCACAACCAGTCCTCCTCACCCACACGTAACTGGGATGTGTTGACAGACCACCTTGAGCAAATGGAGACATAGCTGTGCCACACACCCGCATCACAGAGCCCATGCCACTTCCTGCCATTTCACGTCACTGCTGTTCCCTGGAGCACCATCATTACCCAGCATGACTAGCCTTTGTCATGAAGCTGTCACCCTGGACAGCGGGCTGTCCACCTGTCCTGCGGCCCTCACCACTCCTCCTCACAGAGGAGCAGCCGTGCCCTGAAGCACACCACAGGATGCCAACGAGAGTCACGCCACAGGCTGGGTGGGCACCATGCCCTGATCCCAGCCCTCCGTCTGCCACTGGGAACCTAGCCATGTTGAGACCACCAGGCTCACGGGAGCCTGCACTCAGGGGGACCCCACCTTCCGTTTTCCCCACAGCATGGTGAAAGCCACAACCAAGGACCTTCCTGTCACTGATCTGGTCAAACTGAGATGTGACCAAAGGTTCTGCCCAGGCCTCAGGGATGCAGCTCAGAGCCACAGCCTGCGACTCCGGAGTGGGGCTCAGGGAGCGGGGCGATCGGGAGCTTGTGTGTGCTATGGCGGGTGGAAGATCAGGGCTCATGCAACCCACACACGGCCAACAGCACACCCATTACAGCGCCCAGACAAGGGGCCCTCAGTCTCCAGCCTGCCTCGCGAGTCTCTGGGAACCGTGAAACCATCCCTGGTCAAAATGCAGAGGGCACCAAAGCCTGGGCACCCACCTGGTCACCTCCTGCACTCCAGGAAGCGAAAACTTCTCACCTGACCTGACCACCTACTTCAATAGCACCCGCACCACCAGGTGCACTGCCCCATACCATCACCTACGTCCTTCAAACACACTTAGAGTCTGCCTCACAGACAGAACACTGTCCACATAACAACAGACACTCGGTGTGTCCCTCTGCAATGGACAAATGAAACCATGAATCCTACCAACGTGACATAACCCACGGGAGGACCCCACCCTGGCCAACCAACAGAGAAGCTGAGCGGAGTGGTGAGCAGCAGTGTGAGTTAGCAAGCTTGTCTGGGCTTTGCCCGGTTCTGATCATGGAGGAGATGAAGAGAGGGAAGGAGGGAAGGAGGGCTGGCCCTGGGCAGCGCCTCAGAGCCGGGCAGGCGGTGGCAAGCAGCTGTGGCCAGCAGCAGGGAGGGAAAGGCCTGAAGGTGCCGGAGGACAGCAGGAATGGCTGAGCAGCTCAGCGCCACATCAGCCCACAGGAACGGGCTCTCTCAGAAACACCCGGCAGAACCCAGACTTTACCTCAACTTACCAAGACACAAATTCTGTAAGGCAAGAGTGTCATGATTGGAACACAGGCAATAAAACCCCCACACACTCCTGACAGTCCCATTCCTAAAGGAAAATGCACACACAAGTTGAAGCCTTCTGATAATTAAGCAAGACTGGAAATTATGCAAATGAAAGATATTCAAGTATGCAATGAATTTTAAATGACAGAACTACAGAAAACTTAATTGCTGTATTAGCATGCTATAAAAACACTAATCATAAATGTAAAACAATGCATGCATATACTTCTATCTAAACTGTCCCTCCCTCGTGCCTCCACAAGCGCGGAGATGACACGGGGACCTCACTCACTAGTGCAAATGCTAGCTGGTAATTAGTTTTGGTCCCACGTTTCTGAAGTAACCAGAAGCAGAGCTAAAGACATCACTCTCAGCACTAGCGTCCCAGACGCTCCGGCCCTCCCTACAGGACTGGCTGCAGAAGCATGACCCACGGCACCCATCTCCCCTGCTTGCTCAACAAGGTCTCCACACATCAGGAGCAAAGCTGTCCACACCAGCCCCATGCTCACCACAGGCCACAGACACACACACCAGGGCCAGGCCTGGAAACAAGTACAGTTCTGGCTGTTCGCCCTTCCAAGCTCGGCAGACAAGCAATTTTTGCTGTTCTCTGGGTAACTCTCCACCTTGAGGTCCTGTAAGGACTGTCAACCTCCCGCTTGTTGAGCCCTGGGACAGCATGCTGACAACGCCCTGTCCTGGACCTGCTGGCTCAGGCACCTCAAGCCCAACGGGCATGGCTTTTGGGGGCTAGCTGCCTTCACAGGCAGAGCCACAAGGCCTCCAGGGACCATGCACATCGGGTGCCTTCCGCTTGGGCAGTGTGCTCCAACCCCTGGCACCCACAAGCCAGCCTTCCCTGAGCTCCCCAGGTGATACTTAGGGAAACCCAAACAGAAGAGCAAGCTTGGCCAGGACTGCCACATGCCCAGTGCCCAGGCTGCCCCAGCCTCAGGGCAGGAGCTCTCTGCCCTCCCTGGGATCTGAATGCACTTCTTTCAAATGGGAGCCCAGTCAGCAGGGTCTATGGGGGCTCCCAGCGGGCAGAGCAAGTGAGGTGACACCTGGCACTGAGAAGCCAGCCCTCCTGCGGGAGTCTCCTCTGCATCCTACAGCCTTGAACTGCAGCTGGGTCTCCCCCGCCATCTCCACACATCCCCGTGACCCAGCTCTTACAAAGGCTGAGAGCAGACACGTAAGAGGCACCTGTGGGCCAGAGGAGAGAGAGCAGCACACTGACTCTCCTTTCCAACCTCAGCTACAGGAAACTGGCTCAGGCAGCGTGCCCGGTCAGAGATGCCGACACAAGCGACAAGGACAGGAGGGTGAGAAAGGAGGCTCTGGCCCTTCTGACCACAACCATGCCTGCCTGGGAGTACCCCTCCGCCCCATGGAGGGCCGTCCACACCCTGCCCCGGGCAGGGGGTGTTCATCCACGCCCCTTGAGGCTATATGCACATGTTGCAGCAGGTCAAGATGGACCGCTGCTTGGGGCCCGACAAGAGCCCAGAAGCCCCTGTTCGCTGCGGAGTCGCTGCCTCCCCTCCTCAGTCTGGCATCGGCTTCCCTCCCTCACCTTCCCCAGATTCCCCATCCCAAACACAATCCTTTGCCAAGAGCCGACGGACCAGCCCAGTTTCTGCTGCACAGGACATCAGCCAGAAGCTAGTGGGTAAACGAGTAACCTGCTCACACTCGTGCAGTGCACACTCGGCCCACACAGGCCACACCAGTGTGTGACCTCACACAGGGTCCTGCACAAAACAAGGACCACGCAGGGCAGGCGGCGAATGGGGGCTCCTGAGGAAGATACTGAGGCCACCTCTCCCATTACCCCCAGGCTTGGCCTGCAGGGACGGTAGACACGGTAGGCGTGTTCCCTGCCACCCTGCAGACCAGAAGGAGGTAAGGGTGGGAGTAGCCCTTCCTGCTAGTTTCCAGTCCCAGACACAGTGCCTGAAACACAGAACATGCTAAAAATATAGACTACGTGAATGACTGAGCCAATGAGCCACGTGCCAAGGCTTTCCTCTTCTAGAAACACAGCCCACCACTGCGCACATCAGCCCTTCCAGACACAGCAGAGCCACGTGTGGGTGTGGTGACCTGTGCAGAGCTGCCCCGGGCCCCCATCACGCCCTGCCTGGGCCGGCACGGACACTCACTCCCAGCGTCGCTCATGCTGCCCCACCCCACTGCCCTCCAGATCTGCAATCTCTCACTGGCCTACCCCAGAGGACCCCCGACCCCACCGCTAGGATGTCATGGTCGCCCTAGGGGTGCTGCCTGGCATCCTCCTAAGCTTGTACCACACTGGTAGGCCCCTTCCTCAACGCCCCGAGCCGCCACCTTGGAAGACAGCTTTGCTGAGTGCCATTTGTTAATTCCAGCCCAAAGAGGGTCCAGAACGTCCACTTTCTTCTCTGCCCCTTGAGCCTGCACATCCTCCTTCCCCACCCTCTACGGCCTCAGACGCAACGCTTCCTCTCCTAGGAGACTGACCTGGCCCTCAAGGTGAGCCCACACCCCTGGGTTTCCCTTGCTCACACTCATTCCCTGGACAGCAAAAGCAAGTGCTTGCCCTAGCCTGCCCCGCCCCCCGCGGGTCTGCAGCCCTGACCTATTCCCAGCAGGTCAGTTCAGACTGATGGGCAAATGAGGATGTCTCTCACTGGCAATGCCAATATGCACCGGTCACTTCCTGTGACCGTGACAGGATGCCTGAGGTCAGACGTCCACAGCGAACGAGGCTGCTGAGCTCAGCCTCCGAGGCAGCCGCACTGGCGTGGCTTCCGGCTGCAGCACTGCACACACACAGGGCCGAGTGTCCTAGAGGGGACTCACTCTGACAGTTCACTCTGCAAGAACTCGATCGCTCCTAAGAACAGCATGAAGCCCCTCATCAAGGCCCCCCACTTTCCGAGGTACCCTCAGGGTCCACACGGCCACAAGCAGGAGTCCCTCTGTCGTCGTCCACCGTCTCTCTGCCCACAGCAGCCCAAGGCCCCGAGAGCCGGGGGTGTCGCTGTGCAGCACCTACTGAGGCAGCAGCACCACCTGCAGACATGGAACTCTACACTTCACTGAGCCATCCTGCCCAGACACGCACACCCCAATGGGGGGCACCATCCAACCTCCCTGCAGATCACCCCGAAAAGCCAGGGACCCGTGTTCAAGGATGTTTGGAAAAATGGACATGCTTAAAAATGAAGAAACAAAAACCACAAAGCAAAAATATAAGCAACCACAGCAGGTCTGATTTTAATTGCAAAAGAATATTTAATCGATAAATATTCACCGTTCAGAGCTGCATCTGCATTTAGGATTATGAGGTAGTAAGCTGCAAATTGATTAGGCTCATTAGCCAGAGAGTTTTTTTAAACACTGAAAGTCAGACCCAATTTAGAATAGACACTCAGAGTTCCCTATTGACTCGGCTCCAAAAACAACGGAAGGGGAAGAGAAGAAAGACATCCGACAGCACCGGACCCTCCGCCCCCACCAGCCAGGCCTGCACCCCACGCCGGCCACTCCAGCATGCGAGGATTTGGTGCCCACCCCAACTCGGCCCCCAGGCTCCCAGAAAAGTGAGCGTGAGAGCAGGGCACCGGGGCGCCACCTGCCTCGCAGAAGTGAGACTACACTAACACTAAACACTAAACACGGGTCAGTGCACGGCGTGCCTTCCACACGCGGGAATCACGGCCGCTGCTTCCACTCCTCAGCTTTGAAGCCCTCCTCTGCGCTCAAGCTTCCTACAGCGTAGGTCTGAACACAGTGCAAGGAGTTTTTGTTTTGAATAGACCAAAGCAGCGAAGGCAGTTGGCGACGTGCTGGACCTGGCACTGGCGGCTCAGCTCCCGACCCAGGCGGGAGACGACGCGTGAGCGTGGGTCTCTAACACCGCGTGGGGAACCCACACAGGCCACCCACTTGGAGTTCCCAGCTTCTGTTAGACCCGCTGTCCAGACACTGCGGGAAATGCGTCAGTAGATGCCTGAACCCGTCTTCCCTCTCTCGTTCTCTTTCTCTGTCTCGTTCTGCCTTTGAAGTACAAGAAAACAAACACACATCTAAAAATAATACAATTAGACAAGAACACAGCTGCCTTGGATTACCGTTTATCCACATTTACTGTCAGCCTTGTCAAACCAAGCTTGAAACTCAGCACAGTAAACAAGAATGCGTAGAACACATGTGTCCGAGAGCCAGGACAGACGCCTGGGCCAAGGACGGCACACCCAGGCCGGGGGAGACAGGTGCAGACACTTACAGAAAGAAGCTTCCAGGTAATGGGGCGAACCTGCTTCGGAATTCCAGACCAGCTCAACTTCCGTAATTCCTCTGTTGACAGAAGGGAGAGAAGAGAAAATGCAGTTTACAAAATGCAAACTTCCCAGTGCTCTCACACAGCCCCCCAGTGCTCTCACACAGCCCCCCAGAGCTCTCACAGCCCCCCAGGGCTCTCACACGGCCCCCCAGGGCTCTCACAGCCCCTCCACCTTCTCACACAGCCCCCCAGTGCTCTCACACAGCCCCCCAGTGCTCTCACACAGCCCCCCAGTGCTCTCACACAGCCCCCCAGAGCTCTCACAGCCCCCCAGAGCTCTCACAGCCCCCCCCACCTTCTCACACAGCCCCCCAGGGCTCTCACATGGCCCCCCAGGGCTCTCACACAGACCCCAGGGCTCTCACACGGCCCCCCAGGGCTCTCACAGCCCCCCCCCACCTTCTCACACAGCCCTCCAGTGCTCTCACACGGCCCCCCAGGGCTCTCACAGCCCCCCAGTGCTCTCACATGGCCCCCCCCAGTGCTCTCACAGCCCCCCAGGGCTCTCACACGGCCCCCCAGAGCTCTCACAGCCCCCAAGGGCTCTCACACGGCCCCCCAGAGCTCTCACAGCCCCCCAGGGCTCTCACACAGCCCCCCAGGGCTCTCACATGCCCCCAGGGCTCTCACACAGCCCCCCAGGGCTCTCACATGCCCCCAGGGCTCTCACACAGCCCCCCAGGGCTCTCACATGCCCCCAGGGCTCTCACACAGCCCCCCAGGGCTCTCACCCGGTCCCCAGTGTCACCACTGGCAGGAAACCCACACACAGAACCAGAAGGAACCTAACAGACAGCAATGACAGAAAAAGTGTGGACACTGCACTCCAACAGAGCTGAGCACACATGCTGAAACAGCCTGTGGAAGCCACACGTGGCCAGGCACGCCCCTCCTCCCTCAGACAGCCACGGGCCCTTCAGCCCAGCACTACCTCCCACCTTCACCGCCACTTCAGTCTCCCTCCCTCCCTCTGACCTTTCTTCCCCCCCTTCCCTGTTTGACCCTCAACATTTACTTAAAGCACCTTCAGGAAGCAGTTTTCTCGGTACTGATTTTGTTAAGAGATTGTTTCATGCAGCCAAGTTGGCCTTCGCGCTGCGTTAAGTAACGGTGTGGTCACGTCGGACACACCAAGGTCAACCATAAGCTTCAGGGCAGGCCACAGCAAGGTGCCAACTCATTGGCAGACACTGACAGGTGTCAAAAGTCAAGGGCAGCAGGGGAGGGGGGGGGAAGGACACGCAGGGAGGCAGCAGAGTCTGCTCACGCCCCGAGTGATGGGAGAATTTATCCCTCCCTCAAGAGGCAGCCACACTCATCCACCCCCACTGAAACACAAGCAATCTCTTTCTTCTGCATTAGGAATTCATCGTAAGGTTCTCCTAACAGCTTGGAGCTAATGATTAATACTAGGAATAAAAGAAATGATTAAAGAGGAGACTTTAGTAATATAATCAACAAAATACAAAGTCCTGACATGTAATCTTTCTCCAATTACTAAAGTCCAAGCAAAGTAAGTGCAGAGTAATTGGACAGTGGCCTGGCAAAGCCTGCACGGCACTCCCAGGAGAGCCGAGGCCTCCGCCCGAGCAGGTGGAGAGCAGAGAGCCGCTATGTCAGCACCGTCCACGCGGTGGCGAGCAGCCACGGGCACGGCCTCCCCCGCTGCATGCGCGGGCTTTGTCACTGTGCTCGAAACCCCAGACACTCAGCCGCCATGTTGTCTGGAGCTTCCTTCTCACCGGCAGAAACAGAAATTCCAAACTCTTGGAGTTACGGCATCAGACAGGGTGAACCTGTAGAAACTTTGGGGTCCAAAGGGGGCTGCCACGCACACTGCGCAGCCAATGGGGGGCTGCCACGCACACTGCGCAGCCAATGGGGGACTGTCACGTGTACTGCGGGGCCCACAGGGGACTGCCCCGCATACTGCCCAGTCCACAGGGAGCCGCGCGCACTGCGGGGCCCACAGGGGACTGCCCCAAATACTGCGGGCTCCACTGGGGGCTGCCGTGTGTACTGCGGGGCCCTCAGAACATGTTCTGTTAATGAAGGCTGTAGTCCTGCCGTCCAAAACATGCCTTCTGCACGGGGCTCACCCGGGAGCTGTGGACCCACAGCATCACACGTGTCCCACCACCTCAACCCCATCCCGAAACAAACTAACACAAACTTCACCTATGACAGCATGCTGAAAACACCATCCCTCTAACACAGCCAGAGTGGAGGAATGGCTCAGCATCAGCGAGGCTGACACAGAGGACCTACAGGGCCGTCCTGAGGACCACCTGGGCTGGCCTTCTGCCCCACCACCCTTCCAGAAGAACTCCGGCAGCCCTGGGGTCCTCAGGGCAGGGGCTGGGCCTCCCCCTGGACTCCAAAGGCAAGCAAACTCCAGCCTGGCCTGGGACCCCGGCTGACTCCTGGAAGGCTTCTTGCTCTTTGGACAGCAGTGCTAGATGCGAGGACCACAGCGACCACGCAGCACTCAACCAGAGCCGGAACAGGAAGCCAGCGGGAAGGGGTGGGGCCCAGAGCTGGGCAGCAGCACAAATCCAGGCAGAGAGCCGGCCCAGCCCGAGGCGGGCACGCGCCACCACTCTTGCCCGTCAGCAGAAGGAAGGATGGCAGCTGTAGACACAGAGTAACAGGATGCACCCGTACCACACACATGCACATGGATGACCTCCAGGACGGACATAGCCAACTGAGGAGCGCCCTGGGCTGCCCGGGAGCTCGGCACTAGGTGAGAACTGAGAAATGAACCCTGAGGGAACAATCCCTGGAAAAATGGAAGATTCTTAGAAGAGAAACTGAAAATGGCCAATAAACATACAGAGAGTCAGGTAATCTAAACAAAATCTGTAAGTCCAAAGTTAGCCAGCTAAAGTGTGCAGAGTGCTCAGGTCTGGGGCTCACAGACGCAGGCCTACGTTTCAGGCCTGGCCGGACCCTTGGAACAGCTTCACCCGGGACAACATCTCTTCAGAAACATTCACCCAGGCGTGAAGGAGGATGGTCATCAGAACGAAGGCACAGCAACAAAACCTCAAACACAGAACGCCTGTTGGCGAGGAAGCCCCTGCACATCATGTGCCTACGCCCACTCAGTGCATGCAGGGGCCACACAGGGTGTGCAGCACACGTACAGAACCGCCCTTCCCTGCACACCCACCCACAAGCCACAGGGCGGCTGGGTGTGCCTGGGACTCTGACCTCTCACACCCCAACACCTCCCTGCTGCGGCCACATCCTGCTGGAGCCAAGTCGGCCTCCTGACATCGCAGCCCACGCTCACTTCCCTCCATGGAGCCTGCAGGCCCATGTGCTGGGAGGACGTGGGGTCCGGAGGTCAGGGCCCAGGCTCCGCGGCCTACCCGCTCTGAGACACTACCTTGGTCCAAGGGAAAGGCTGGAAAATGACAGCTCAGCTCCTTCCTGCTCCCTTTCAGAGGCTAGTTCGGGTGGGGAGGGGAGCGGAAGGATACAGGCCATGTACTGTTTTTAACAGAACTGTGAACTGATGCACAGTGAAGTACAGCTTACACACAACACAAGTATCACTCAGACACAACACAAGCACTCATGCAACCCCAACAGGCTGTCAGACATGTCCAAGCCCGTCAGAGCAGGCCTTGGCGTTCGCCGCCACCTTCCGCTGTCCGTCACGGCCGACCGACTTGACCTGTTACTGCCATTCACGCTAGCGGTGCACGCAGCACGTCCTCCCAGGAGTCCTCCTGAGCTCAGAACGTGGCTGGGCCAGCTGAGTCAGGTCGCAGCAGCGCACACTGCACCCGGGAGGGGCAGTCTTTGTTTCTGCATTTCTCATGCGCACACACCTGACTCGCAATGGAAAGCTGCCTGGTCTGGGCCCGTTTGGAAGCCTTTCCTCCTCAGTGGACACACGGGGCACCTGTTGGGCCACAGGCACCATGACCTTCACGAGCACCTGTCACCATGTCCTTCAAGCACATGGACCATTTGTCACTTCTCACCAGCGACATCTGAAACTCCCACCTGCTCCACATCCTGGACAAAACCTGGAACTGCCAGTCGCTGGGACAGTGGCCATTCCAGCAAGCTGCATATGCACATCATTGTGGCTTCCATCGGCAACTCTGTGACGATGACAATGCTGTGGACTGAACAGATTATCAGGTGCACGCCAGCCATCTTGTATCTTCCGCAAAGTGTACACCAAACTCCTTCAATAGCTTTATGACGCCCCACGGGGCTGCTTCAGCAGCCAGCTCCCCATCTGGCCCAGAACCCACGCCGCACTTCAACACGTGCTACTTCCGTGTTGAAAAGACAGGTGTCCTGCCTCGGAGACAGTGGCCGTGAGTCAAGGAAATCCTTCTTCCATAACCTCTTGAGTTCTTCAGCTCTCCACCCCCGGTTCCCAGAGCACTGGGGCTGGTCCACTCGGCCCAGCAGGCGCTGCACTCCACCCCCGGTTCCCGCAGTGCTGGGGCTGGTCCACTCGGCCCAGCAGGCACTGCACTCCACCCCCGGTTTCCAGAATGCTGGGGTTGGTCCACTCGGCCCAGCAGGCGCTGCACTCCAGCCCCGGTTCCCATAGTGCTGAACTTGCCCAATTTGGGCACTTGCTGGTGTCTTCACTCGTGGAATCGCATCCCACGCCTGAGCAGAGCAGGGTTCAGGCCAGGGCCGCGTGGGGCCTCTGCAGCTGCTGAGGGCTCTCAACACAACACTGCCCTTCTGTCGCCTGCACGTACATATTTTCCTTCAGCCCCCAGAACCCAGCAAGGAAGCCAGGCTCACAGTGGCTCCATCCCTCCCCATGCCACAGCCCAGGAGCCACCTCTGTGTGCGATCTGGGCACCTAACAAGGCCACCTCACGCGTGTCCTTCTCGCGGGATCCAGTCCCACACCACTGCTCCTGCGGCGGCCCTTCAGACAGGGCTGCTGTCCTGGCTGCTGACCACAAGAGCACACTCCCTTCACCAGTTAATACCCATGGGCTGAGGAAGAGTGAGTTCCCTGTGC